TGGAGCAGCCCCATTACTTTTTCAATAAGTTTCCCAAGGAAGTGAAGGGTAGATATTAATCAATAATTATCCAGAATATCTGAGCTGAGCAATGGCTAGTTGACAAAAGAGTGCACATTTTGTTCTTTCAGGATGGGTGGCAACCTCTCTTCTCCCTAGGATGTATTTACCACCAATTTGACCTGATCTCCTCCTTGGAGGCTTTTATGTTTTTTTTTAACCATTCACCTTCTCTGGCCTTCCTAAATTGCTTTTACTCACTTCATGGTTTCCTTTTTACAGTCAAAAATTGCTAGAGTTGTGAAGAAAAACAATTATTTTAACAATGACTGTCAAAAAGAAAAAGGTACAAAGATTGAATAGCTACACATAGGAATTACTAAACAGGAAACTGCATTTGAAAAAAGTTAGAGTTTGTATAAACATTATGGATTTTAATTTTGTAAGCAACATAACTTTTTCAGGTCATTGTCATGGCTACGTTAGATGAAGATACTCGTTTGGGACTTATATTTATGTTCTGTAAAATGCTTTTTTGTCATTTTTGGTAATTTTATTTTTATTTTGCTGCTCTTTCATTCCCAATATTACTCAAGGGTACTGATTACTAAATATTAAATGGAGAAAAAAAATGGAGAAAAACCTAACAAACAAAATGAAGATTGCATCCTTCCCCCATCCCTATTTTTTTTATATGACCAAAGTCAAAGTCAAAGACTGTAAATTTGACCAAAGTCAAACTTACAGTCGATCAATACTCTGCCTAATCCCATCAGATCCAAACTGATCCTCTCTGCATATAAATCCAAGTAAAACAACCTCCTCACCAATTCACAATCCAGTCCAACAGCAGCCTTTACAAGGGAACAGTAACCTAGAGAAGCCCCAACTTTCCATTCTCCATCAGTTGATGATCTCAACATTCTATCTCCTTCACAATGGACTTCCCCAACTCTGCTTTCCTCCTGGAAGGTCCATTTGACCTAATAATAGAAATAGCTTCAGGTACACTGGAAGAACTTGCCTAACTCCCCCAACATGGCCAAAAAAATCAGATTCCTTGGATCTCCTACTGTGAGGTCTTAATATCTATAAAAATCTTTATGTTTACATTTGTGAGGACTCTCTAGCTTGTAAAGCAGGCACCTTCCATAGTTCTTGTCAATGCTGTGCTCTTTCTTCAAACTGAATCCACAAATAATTAGGTGGCAAGAAATAGATACAGAAAATTATCTGCCATCTGTCAATCTTTGCAATGATTGCAGCCCAAGTCTGTTAACCCTTCATGAATAAACAGTAGTATATTTAGAATGCCAGCTTTGAATCAATCTAGGGGGCTGTATCCTAGATATTTAGTAAGCAAAACAGACATTTACCGAGAATCTCAGATATGAAAGTGTTTGGGAAAAAGAATTCATAAGATCCCACCCAGTCATATAAGTATGATGGACAATACAGAAATTTTATAAATAAATAAAATGTTTATGGAGGGATAATTGATTGTGCAATAAAGTTCAAATAAAATGTGGACACTGGTAGTCCCCTCAAAATAAAACAGACAGCCTTAGATGCCCAGAGGTTGAACTATATCAAGGATCCCTCCCTAAAGATAAAAATTTGAGAACAGTGGAAGGAAAAAAACACACAAAAAAGATTTAGTTTAATTTGAAAAAATATAACTGATTTTTATGAAAGTGAAAAATTTAACAGGAGTGGAAACAATGGCTAATAAGATTTAATGACTTCCCCAAGTTGGCAAAGCTCAAAACCATAAGAATTCCTCATATAAAGTTGCATACTATGTACATACTGTGTGTGTGTGCTCTTTAAAACCAATAATTTCAGGCCTTTTTCAAATTGGCATGAATTTGGATAGAGAACTGTCTAACTTCAGACAGCAGTAATTTAAATGCTCCTTCTGTAATTTTGAGCTCACATATTAGAGTCACTGTTAAAGTCCTTTTCCATGTAAGATTTTTTTAATGGAATATTTTTTTACTTTGTGCAAAACAGTGAGTAATAACCCTCAAAACTAAACTATACTTGATATAGGCTACCGCTGATCGGATCATTAAACTATTGTACGTCTCCCTCATTAATTTTAAAACTGATTTATATATTACTGAATTGGATTTTTTAATCTTTATTGATACACTCTCCATACACATGGGCACGACCCCACACACTTAAACACACAGTTGTGTTGAAAGGCACATCAAGGAAGGATTTGAAGGAGAAAGTGCATAAAAGGAAATTATCCTTAATTCATCCTTCTGTTGTGGATTCAGAACTACTATAACCATTATCAGTTGGTTAATCTGATAAATTTGCTCTAGAAAAAGTACAAATATAAAACACAACCCCATTATAAAAGTAGGTTGAATATATGAGAATAAATCCAAATATTTCCATTATGCCAAAGGAAACACTTTTGATAGTATCTAATTTAGGGTACATAATAGACTTGGCTGTTCAAGCAAATAGGCTGACTCTGATTCTGGGTTTTATTATTTATTATTTATTAGTTAATTTGATTTGTTGTACATGTTTTTAATTTGTGTTCGCCACCCTGAGTCCTTCTGGAGAAGGGCGGCATATAAATACATGAAATAAATAAATAAATAAATAAATAAATAAATAAATAAATAAATAAATTGATGAAAAAGAAAGTTAATCAAATATGAAACAGCATTTTGTAATCATAAAAATGTGGCAATCTTTCTGCATGGAAATACAAAAGTCTTTACTGCTAATCTCAAATAAATATCTATACAACCGTCTGCTCTGCTTAAGGTATAGTCTGTCCTGGGGGGAAAAAGTGCTTTAATGTAAGCTCTGGTAGTTGTTGTCATATAGACTTCTTTCGCTAAGAACCATGGTCCATTTCTTAGTTAACAACTAATAAGTTTCAGCATTTTTTAAATTTCCAAAGTTACACATTGTATTATTCTATTTGCTGTGCAGTAAATTCAAACATTTAAATATTAAAAATTCTATATAATTTTTCCATTATTATTTTTCAAACCTGTTGACCTGCATTATAATGATGAAGATAATTTTCAAAGACCACTTGTGTACACAGGTCCTCAAATTATGACTAGTCAGTTAGCTACAATCAGAAGTTGCAACAGACCTCCTTGGGATTACTTATGATCTGGTTCTGAAGTTCCAATGGCCAGTACTCCCCGTCGCCCGCCCAGCCACATGGCCACATTTTAGCCTCTCAGCAACCAGGCTGCATTCATGGCTGTATGCATCATGCATACATGTAACTGCATTTGATGATGTTTTTGTCAAAAACCAGCATTTGCCTCCAGTTTTTGGTCATAGTGAACAATTGGTTCACTTAGTGACATGATGTTCGCTGAATGCCTGTGGCCATGGCTTTCCAACCATAGCACTTGCTTAATGACCACCACAAAAAGGTCATAAAATAGGTCAGTTTTACGACAATCATGACTTATGACCAAAATGGGCAGCTCCATTACAGTTGTAAGTCGAGCATTATTTGTATAAAAGGCATACTATGTTGGGTCCTTCACCATATCTGTGTTTTATTATGTGAAGCAAGCCCAGTGCTGCAGTGTTGGCTTATTTACTTGAGAGTAAGACTTACTGAATTTGGTATAATGGATTCAGAATATTGAAATGGGCATGATTCTTTAAAAAAAAAAAAAAGACTGTATACTTGTTTCCTTATATTCTTCACCCTTACTATATACATTATGATTTTCTATTTTGTCTTCATTTTTGTTTTAATTTGTTTCAGATTTGTGTTCATTTCAGGACCAACTAGAAATAGATCCCTCCTTCCCAGCATGTTCTGAAATCAGCACGGGATTTGCAAGCCTTAATATGAATCTTGTACAGCCTGCTTTTCTGCTCTGCTGGCAGATTTTCCCCCTTAGAAGGGGAAAGGAGCAAGAAATGAATGTAATCATTAATTCTCTCTGATCCATCTCACTCAGAATTATTGGAACACAGAAAGCTTACATAACAGTAAACTCAAATGATTTGAGAATAATTTGTACATAATGAAACAGAGGTTAATGCCCAGAGTTTGTAATTCATTAGTGGGTGGCCTCTATTAACAGATCAATTTAATATTTATTACTATCAACTTCTAAGAGATGTGCCTTTTTAATTAGATTTAAAGTTTAAGAAACCAAGGATGACATATCCACTTAGAAAAGTTTGAAAAACAAAAGTAGATTAAATAGAATTCCATAAGCACACATAATACACTCTCATAATTATATTGAACTTTTAGGATCATTATCCATATATAAAGTAGCTGAAGGAGATGTGCAAGGTGGCATTTAAGCTAAGGAACATGCAAAGGTTTTGAATGTTAGTGAAGTAGTTATGCAGCTTAGTTAAACTAGTGGCTAATCAAATTTCTGTTATAAGGTAACAATTACCATTTTAGGTTTACCAATCTATTATTAATTCTATAATTATCTTGTCCATTCTTAAATTAGTTTGGGATTACTATACCTAAGTTCTAAATTTATATTTTTTTATAGCTATGACTTTGCTATGTACTAACTATAGCCATTTAAATGCTAATGTCCATGGTTTCTTCATTGTTTTAATTTTTAAAATTTTAAAAACCATACCTGTTATACTACATCAGCTGTTACATTGATGTTATACATTATTTATAAAATAAATATTTCACACTTTATTTATGGTCAGAATGTCACTCTAACATTTTTTTTCCTGATAATATACATGCATTTCTTGAAATAACAAGAAACTTAGTAAGTATGCTAACTTCACAAATGTCTAGCCAAAAATGTTCTTCATTACTGAACTAATTAAAATTAATCCAGCAGTTAATTTTAGTTCTAAATTATCTGTTGATATTCTGTTCACTTGTGCAATCTTGAAAATGTTTATTTAATTTTAACAGAAACAGGTTCATAGTACATAGTACATGTGTCAATTGTGTTTTTTTTTTCAGATAAGTTTCGTATTACTTGAATGAAGGACAGGCATGAAGCTAATATAGCTTTATTTAATCCTTGCAACTTTATCCTTGAGGTTCAAGAAATCTACCATAAAATCTGGAAATCCAGACAAAATAAAGAGATGCTTGAAACACAACATGTATGTAGTATGTGAAAGAGATCATGCTGCAAATTTTATATAGATTGACTTTTTATGTACACTGATGGAAAAATAACTTTATAGCATATTTTCTATAAATACATACATAAAACATTCACTTATAAACTATCTCATTCACTTCCATTTATTAAAAGAGCCATTTTAAAGTGTTAAAAAATACCACATTGGAACTGTATTAACCAATTAACAGCAAGATTGATAATTTCCTTACCAGTGATTCATAGCCCCTTACATTTTCATCCAGTTGTTTCTCTGCTGGTAACACAGTAATAAAAATAAACTTTATATTGCTTCACTAACGGTCGGGTGACACTAGAAGTTATAAAAATCCTTCAGGAAGACATGGCTATAGTATTCAACAAATGCCTATAACATTTTTTGCAAACTCCCAATAAGATACTGCAATGGTGACATCATAACTCTGAAAGAATCCAGGTATGATAAAACTCACCAGGTATTAATTAGTTCACATTTAGCCTTTGGTTACACTTTGTACCTGAAATCAATGCAAAGGGCTTACATTTAGCTGAATTTTGTTTCAGAACTGATTAGATACAATTCACTTTACAATGTTTAAAGTCCTTTTTATCATGCTTATCATCTTAAGTAAAAATGAAAGAGTTTCTCAAATGAAGGCATTAAAATGTCATTCTCCAACTCTTTCCAATACAGTACTGAAAATCTGAAAGGCATGATACAGCTTCCACTAAAACTGGTGAACATTTTATATTAGAAACAAAACATGAAAGAAAGGAATTTAATCCAGTTAAATAAAAGTGTCCAAAGTGCAAACTGGTATGTCACGTTTTTCAATTAGAGAAATCCATTGTGAAACAAATAGAACAATCTGAAAATGAGATGAAGATAAAGGAAAGTCGCACAAAGAAAAAAGGAATAACATCGCAATAAAGTAGTTGTGCTTATAACAGCAAGTACTCAAAACTACTTTGACAACACAGAAAGTTTGTATTACAAACCAAATGTCTAATAAAGAAGATAAAAGCCCAAATCTGTAATAAAAAAAAGGGGGGGGAGGAGAATGGGGCTGCATAGTAGTGTATTGCAAATTAAATGGGATAATTTGGCATGGGCTGATAGCTAACTCCTTCAACATTCACAGAGACTATGTCAAGATTGTTACATAGAATTATTATCCAATAATGTTAACAAGGTGAAAGCTGTGAATTAGAAATATATGTTTAACAGTGAAAGCTTCCAGGCAAAATACTTGTAGAAGAATTTAATATCCCTCCCATTTCATTTGATCTTGATCTTCAACACAGGCAGCATCATGTCTGTACAACAAATTATAGACCAATCACGTTGTATTTGAAGAAAAGAAGGGTAGAACTAAAATCCTACATAAATGCACCCCAGACTCCATTTCTCTGCACACGTGGGATTCACATTATAAGTCAGTGACAAATACTAACATTGCTCTCACGGCATGACAATTAACTCTCGGGAAATGAAAGGAAAACATTACTTCAGAGTTCATGCAGGCAGTTATGAATTAAACAGCATCTGCACAGGACTCCACTCCCCACCCCCAAATTCATAAACATTTCCTTGCAGTTTTTAAAATTATTGTCTCTTTTCTCCTTCCAGAATGAATGTTTCCTACATTTTCTGTCTGGAAGAGTCACATGTTGAACTAACATGCTGAAGTGCCACACCACTTTCAGACTGCTGAGATTTGTAGTCTGATATGCTTTGTGCAGCATAGCGTTTCTTCACCAGGTAGCAGATAATAACTACCAACATCACAACCGTACAGGTGACGCCAACAATTATTGCAACCAATGTTCCTCGGCTGCTGCCATCCTTTGGTGGAGCAAAAGAAGGAGGAACAGGTGATTTGGGATAAGTTTCAGTTTCACCTGAAAACTCTTCTGGTTCTTCTGATGGCTCCTCACAGAAGCTGCCCGCTTCTTGAATAAGTCCATTGGGACAGATGCAGTTGTAACTGCCAGGTATATTTATGCACTTCAGGGAACCACAGAATTTAGCCTCACACTCATTGATGTCTGTGCATACTTGTATACCATCTATGTTCATTTCCAAGATAAAGTTTTCTGGACAATAGCATTCATTTATATTGTTAGGGTCACACTGTGCAGCGCATTGACTCTGGTTACAGACTTGGAGACACTTATGAGGACTTTTGGGGTCTGGAATATATCCCTCAAAACATGTGCATTTATACTCTCCATCAACAAGGTTGCAGTCATGTTCACACGTTAAATCAAAGCACGCCCATTTTTCTAGGAGGCATTTGCCCTTCACCAGATCATAGCCTTGCCAGCAGCGGCACTCAAATGCGCCCTGGGTGTTAATGCACTCCTGTTCACAAAGCCCTGGTGTGGCCTGACAGTCATCGATGTCCAAGCAGCTCTTGCCATCAGAATCCAGCTCATAACCCTCAAAGCACATACAGACTCCAGAGTCACCCTGAGGCTCACAATACTGCTGGCATCCTAAACTGGCACAGGGGGACCAGCAGCTCCGTTGGTCCTCCAACAACGTCTTGCCTTCCAGGCAGGCGCAATGGGGTCTCCCTTCCTCGTCCAAATGACACTGATCGTCACAGCCCCCATTTTGCAACTGGCAATCCCAGGCGCCGGGCGCGGCTGAAACCCATTCGAAAGACCCGTTGTTGCCCTGAGCACGGCACTCCAGAACGGCACCCAAACTCTGCACCACCGCCGTAGTGCCCGGCGGAGAGGCCACCAGATCGCTCTCTCGGGCGCCGAAGGGCGTGAGGTAAGTGACCGCGAAGGCGGCCGGCAGGGGCCCGCAGGTCCCGTTCGGATAGTTGTACTCGCAGAGGATGGCTTCGGCGGAGGCGTTGCAGGCGCGCTCCTGCCACCTCAGTTGGGCAGTCACCGCCACGCACATGGGGCCGCAGGTGGGCACTTTTGCGTCGGACCCGTTGCTCTCCCAAGCGTCGAAGTCCGTCCGCTCGTCGCCGGTCACCCACTGAAATCCCCGCAGGCGTTTCGTCGGTTCGACGCAGCGGTTCCCGGGCAGGCGCAAGCCTAGCCAGGCGCTGCCGGGGCGGTCGCGCAGCAGCAGCAGCGCAATGGCCTCCGCCGCCACCGTGGAGCGGACCGTCATGAGGTGTCCGCCGCCTGCCTCGCACACGCCGCCCGCCTCGGTGAAAGTCCTGGAAATGCCGAATAAACCGAAGCAGGCGGAGCCCAAGCACTGCGCGCCTAAGGGGATCGGCGCTGGAGACGGAGTGGGTAACGCCAACCCTGCTCTCAGGCTGCCCATCGCCACTAGGAGGAACCACATGTTAGCGGCGATTACGGCGAGCGCACTTCGAGTGAAACTGGGGTGCTCCGTCGTCGCTTCCCGTTCAGGCGGTCGCAGCATTTATAGCGCCTTCCATGCGAGGGGAGGAGGGGAGAAAACCAGGAGAAATAAGGGAAGCACCGCCCGCCCAGGAGGCGATCTCCCCCTGGAGCAGGAGCAGAGTCAGAGTCTCACACACTCACACCCAGCTGGATGCAGCGCTGAGAAGGGAAGCCAGCCAGCCCCGCCCTCATTTCCTCGACTATTGGCGCAGGAAATTGAGGCTTCCACCCGATCCTTCTTAGTCCGGAGAAGTGGCTGCTGTCAGCAGCCAAATGCTAGATAGCGTCCATAAAGTTAGCTAGCTTTCTTTTTGCTCTTTAGCTGGCTCTCCATTTCTAAAGTAGCATTTGACTACTAACTGCGAGTAACTGCATGGAACTAATGCAATCTTTGTCCAAACCTGGCACCAAGTTGCAACCACTGTCCTTTAAAGGTCCTGGTGGTGTGGAAGTACTTCCCTGGCTGAGGCATTTGCTCAGTTCTGGCATGTTCTTTGTGGTTGCTGCTGCTGCTGCTGCTGCTGCTTCCAAAAGAAAGGAAAGTTTTCTGAGGGTTTTAGATGTGGAGAGCCGAAGATGTCCAATAAACTTTAGTGCTCAAAAGTGGAAAAGCCAATAGCTGAAAGATAGTGCCCATAAAGCATTGTAAGTGCCTTAGTCTTAACAGTATTATAAATCCAGGAAAATCTTCTTGTGGAACAAAGGAACAGACAAACTCTGTTTATTCTGCATTCAAACCCACCAAACTGCTGCTTGAACACACCAGTTCTCTCAAAAGCTTCCCAAAATGTTATGGCCGAAATTAAATAGGTTTTGCTTCGATATTTGATACTGTATGTTTATTTAGTGATCATCTCACCTGTAGAGGGTAAAGAGATTGACTCTGGTGGAAAGAGGGAAGATCTATTCCCAAGGCAACAAGTAGATAAATACTGCTTTGGCCCCATCTGAAATAGTTTTCAGGTAGGCACCCCCTAACTCACTACTGCATACAGTTTTGGTCACCACGATGTAAAAAGGGTGTTGAGACTCTAGAAAGAATACAGAGAAGAGAAACTAAGATGATCAGGGCACTGGAAACTAAAATGTGAAGAATGGTTGCAGGAATTGGATATGTCTAGTTTAATGAAAAGAAGGACTAGGGTTGACATGATAGTAGTGTTCCAATATCTCAGGGGCTGTCACAAAGGAGAAGGGGTCAACCTGTTATCCAAAGCACTTGAAGATGGACAAAAAGCTAATCAAGGAGAGAAGCAACCTCGAACTAAAGAGAAATTTCCTGATAGTTTAAATAATAAATCAGTGGAATGAAATGCCTCCAGAAGTTGTGGGTGCTTCAACACTGGAAATTTTTAAGAAGAGACATTTCATTTATCTGAAATGGTATATAAGGTTTCCTGCCTGAATTGGGGGGGGGGTTGGACTAGAAGATCTCCAAGGTCCCTTCCAACTCTGTTATTCTGTTCACTTGAATATAAAAGAGAGAGAAGGAAAGCACATTCAGACTTGCAAGTTTGTTGTCAACCCTAGGAGATAGACCAAACCAAGAAGAGTTCACCTAGGCATAAAATTATTTTTACAAAATTGGTCATAGTAACAGAAACTTGCAAGTATAAATTTCCATTGCTTTTTTCCCTTTTGCATGAATTGGCAGTTGCATTGTGGAAAATTTATCAAAATGTTTTAGAGTCCTCTAGATTAGCTCTCTGGTCTTGGCCATTACCCATGTTGTCTGAAAGAGACTTAGCGGAGAGAATGTGCTTTCATGAGCTAATGAGCATCTCAATAAACAGGATGATCCTATGCAAAAAAACTTTCATTAATTCCCAGCCCTTCCCGGTTAATCAAAAAATAGCTTTTTTTTTTTTTTTTGCTATATTGTCTAGTTCACACATAATTGAAATGGAACTTTTATCCAAAATTATTACTATTAATAAAGTAGAATCAGTTTGATGTAGCTAGAAACCGGGAGCCTATGAGTTGTATTTCTGCCTTAGGCACCAAGGCAGATCTGGGTGATCTTGGACTCATTGTTCTCACTCTGCCTTACAAAGAAGCCAGAGGAGGTTACAAGCTACTCTCAATTTACCACAACTGAGACCAGAATTTCCATTGCTAAGCAAGGCAGTTGTTAAGTGAGTTGTGACCAATTTTATAACCTTTTTTTGACATGTTGTTAAGCAAATCAGTGCTGTTGTTAAGTGAATCACTTGGTCATTAACTGAAGCCAGCTCCCCTTCCATTGACTTTGCAGTCAGAAGCTGGCTGGGAAGAATGCAAATGTTGATCACTTGATCCCAGAACTCAGCAACTATTGTTAAACACATGCTGGTTCCAAGCCCTGGGATTTTGATCACATGACTGTGAGGGTGCTGCAAAGGTCAAAATTGTGAGGCTCAATCATAAGTCACTTTTTTCAATGCCATTGTAACTGGTCTTAAATGAATGATTGTAAATCGAGGACTATCTGTACTTCCAAAAATCTTGCCAAAAAACCCTGCATGGATATGTCCAGGATAGTTTCCAGACGTCAATTATCTGTCTACAGGTAGTTTATGACTTACAAACATTCATTTAACAACAATTTGAAATTGTGATGGCACTGAAAAAAGTGACTGGTCCTTTCACTATGAGTGTCACAGCATCCCCATAATCATGTGAACAAAATTTGGGCTTTTGGCAACTGGTATGTATTTATGACTGAATTTCCTTAACAATTGTGTGATTCAATTAACAACTGTGGTGATTTAGTGACGATAGCAAAAACGATCATAAAACTGGGTACAGCTCATTTAACAATCACATCACTTAGTGATGGAAGTTCTGGCCCCAGTTGGGTCATAAATTGAGGACTGTCTGTATATATCTGGATAAAAATGGGAAAATGAAATGTCTTTTGGTGGTAATTGTAGGAGATCTCCCCTCTAAGGAGCACCCCTGGACGTTTCTCATTCCCGACCATCAAATTACTAACAAACAAATGGTACTGCGGATAGGCAGAGGAAAGCCATCCTTGAAAACAGCCCAGCCACAGCTTCTTTTGAAAATGATGCTTTCACTGGTCTGAACGGTCCCCTACATTGTACCTGTGCTGCAGGCAGAGATGGTGCTCGGTGATAAGAAGGACTATCTGTGATGCCTTCACAGATGAAGCAAATGGGGATATTGGGAGGGAGGGTGAAATCATTTTCATCCCTCACATTTTTTCTGGAAGATTAAGAAATATACCATTAAAGGCAGGGGTGGGATTCAGCCAGTTCAGACCGGTTTGGGCAAACCGGATGTTAATTTTAATCTGGTTCACCGAACTGGTTGTCCCAAGGACTGGCTGACCCCACCCCGCCCCTCCCAGGAACCTCCACGTGGCCCATTTTGGATGCCAGGTAAGTGCAGGGCATGCACAGAGGCTCTGGGAGGGCGAAAAACGGGCCTACCGGAAGTCCGGAAACAGGCCTGTTTCTGGCCTCCAGAGGGCCTCCAGTGCCCAGTGGAGGCCATTTCTGCCCTCCTGGAGGCTCCAGAAAAGCCTCTGGAGCCTGGGGAGGGCAAAAAATAGGCCTACTGGAAGTACCGGAAGTCCGGAAACGGGCCAATTTCTGGCCTCCAGAGCACCTTCGGTGCCCGGGTGAGGCCGTTTTCGCCCTCATGGGAGGCTCCATGAAAGCCTCTGGAGCCTGGGGAGGGTGAAAATGTCTCCGCCCCATGGTGCAGCAGGCTGACCATGACCATGCCCACCCAGCAACCAGGCAGCGAACTGGTTGCTGAATTTTTTCAATCCCATCCCTGATTAAAGGTAGTCTTTATTTAGTGACTATCTCATACAGCAGAAGTGAGGAGCTATGGCCCCTTTATGACTTGTGGACTTCAACTCCCAGAATTTCCGAGCCAGAAGTCCACAAATCATAAAAGGGCCATAGTTCCCCACCCCTGTCAGACAGTGACTGCTCAAAGTGACAGTGATGAAAATGTAAGTTTGTGACTAATGCCGACATTTACGATCTTCATATGTCTGCCAAGCAAAGCAAAATAAGATCTTATGCATAGTCAATAGTTTCACATAGCAACCACTTCACTTAGTGACTGGATTGGCAATCCCAATTGTGTTGTCACTAAATGAGGACTACCTGTAATAGAAACTCCTCTATTAATATGCCTCCTCCCACCCTTCTCGGTAGAAAAGAACATGATTTCAAAGAATGCAATTAGCATTGCATGTAATAAGTTTCTTAGAAGCAAGTCATGTTTTTCAATGGAATGTGTGTTTCTTGTGGTTGTACTGGTACAATACCTACTAGTGTTCGGTATAAGTACATAAAAAGGTAGAAAAATAAATTTCATTTCTGAACATAGAGTGGATACATGTTAGGAGACGGTATGAATGATGAAATTGCATTTAAGGGAATTCAGCTGAATTCATGGATAGCCTTGGCGGACATAATACAGCAACTATCGACTGTAGAATTAGACTGCATGCATTTGCAAGCCCTTCTGAAGTAGAAACATGCCTTTGATTGTCAGGCCTTTTGCAGAAGCAGCAGAGAAAGAATTCAAAATCTATCACATTTGCCCTCTGTCCCCTTTTATGCAATAACAGGGGAGTGTGCTCTTATTTTTCAAAACATGATTTATCCAATGATTAAATAGTGCTTTTCCCATGACTGAGATGATAGCTACTGATGAGAATTCCTGCGTCACTAAATACGTTTGGCAAGAAAGGGGATGATGTTGCAGATGAATTTCAAAGATTGGAAAACCCCTCAAGGATGAGATAATTGGAGTAATAGAACAGCTGTAACCATTGCAAGAAAAGTTTAACGCTTCTGCTAAAGTAGATAATTAGCAGCCAACAACAAATTAAGGAACTGCCATCCGATCAGAACAATAACTTTCTGTTTTGAGACATTGCTCTAAAATGAAATGGATCCAATGCCTCCAATGTCTTTCAGTATTTCCAGTTCAAGCTGGTAAGGAAGCTACTTTCAAAAGAAAAAAGATAAGCTCCAAGAGATAATGTGTGATAAGATATTGTGTTGGGTTTCTAGTGGAAAGATTCCAATTTGATAATATAAACTACTGAATATCCTTTTGCAAGTCACTTTTGCTAAGTTTCATGATTTATCTGGCTTTTTAGCCTTACAGTGTTGCATGAAACCT